TAAAACAAAAACTGAAGGATGAGAAAGTTGCTGAAAAGCGTACAGTAGAAAAAGGGATGACAGTGGAGCGAATGCTTCCTGAACAGTCGCACAATGAAAAACGACTTAAAACGACGTGAACTTTGACTGTGGCTCAGATTTACTTCCTGTTTGAATCTAAAAGTAAACGTAAACCTTAACCCTTCGGCTGCGCGTGGGTCAAAATGACCCACCAGACCTCTGTGTTAGGACTGAGGACCTGTGGGCCATTTAACCCCAGGGCAGCAGGAGGGTTCGCTGACACCAGCAGGTGATGCTTCATAACAGTCTCTTTTATGAAATGGATGTTATGAAAGCTGCACGAGGTCAAAGGTCAGCTCGTGCACGGAGCACCTTTAGTGCTTTATCGTTTTGGTGTTTAATCATTACCAGAGTTAAACCCGGGCTCAGATCAGCTGATTATCGGAACGTTTTCTAAATTCATATTTGGATCGTTTATAAAAACGCACGTTGTTGGAAAGCCGTGTTGGTTAACGGTAAACTCGATCAGTGTTTATCTTTAAACTGCTAAAGGTTATAAAACTTTATGTGGTCAAAGGGCAGAGCTGTTGAGTTGAAGTTATCACGGACTCACTGTCCAACAAATGAGCACGATCCCTCTCCTTTAGTTGTTTTATGAACATAAAGAAGCACCATCTTCACTCGTTATCACCTGAGCAGGTGAAGCTGGGAGGGGTGACTTTTACACCGGCACCTGATTCAGCTAACTTTAGCATTCGGCTCATGTTTCTGGGTAAATCACAATAATTTGTCAGATGGTCTTGTGAGAAATTAGCCACAAATTTATTTTTGTTTTTAATTATGTTTTTTGTGAACATACACGACTCTTCCTGAGAAATCCTGTCAAGTTTTATTTTTTTATTTTTAACTCGCTCAATAAACGCTGTCCTTTCCTGTCCTCTAACGTTCCTTCATTTCACTCATCCAGCCTTTATTTCTACAGGTTAGTCCCATTGAGCCTCGGGACTCTTTTACAAGAGTCCCTGCCAGGAGTCCAACAGATTCTTGAAGACACTTAGAGAGGTCAAAGGTCGAGAGCTTCAG